ACTGCAGCGAGACTAGATATTAAATGGGAGGAATGCCCGGATAGGGAGAGGGGGAACGGAAGCCTGGAGTGAAAGAGTGAAACATACATTGGCAGTGCGTGCAGCAGCAGCAGCAGCAGCAGCAGCAGCTCGTAATGTTCCCAGCGCCTCTCCGGCGCTATTTTTAATCCGAGCCACTAAAGCCACTGACGAACGACTGACTAACCTTAGAGGGGCTTAGTTGCTGAGCTTACTAGTAAGTTTTGAGGGGCCACCGGCACCAAAAGAGTCAAAAGACAAAAAAGAAACCACTGTGTTTTGTACTGTTCTGTTCCTATGAGTACATACAGTGAATACAGTATGACTGTCAACTGACTAGTCTAGCTAGTCTAGTCTCTCTCTCTCTCTCCCTCTCCTTCCTGTGGCCCGTCCGTCCCTTCTCGCCATTTCCTCTCTTTTTCTCATCACCGCACTACAACTCTTTCTTCCCCTCCTCTCTCTCTTTCTCTCTCCCTCTCTCTCTTCTCTTCTAGCGGTGTCACTGTCGTTTGTGTCTCCCCCCAAGTCCCTGACTCTCGTTGGCCCTTAGCGAATCTCCTCTCGTTTTTGTTTCGGGCGGAATGAACTCTCGGAAGTACCGATCATCACCACGGTTCCTCCAACAGATTTGACTAGGTAAGCCTGTCTATCCTACCCGGTGGACCCCCCGATTTTCGTCCTCTCATTGACCCATCGTCTCCAGTTTCTCCACATCCTCCCAGTCCCTGGTCGCCTGATAACCGGTGCACATCCCATCTCTCGTTGACGTTGTCCTTGCATCCCATCAGTCGCTCCAGAATATTACCCTCGACTTTCTTAACCTGCTCCATGGCTGCCTACATGTCCAACGCCTAGACTCTGCCAGTCTGCCACGCTTAGATCTCTCAATCCAGCTTGACGATTTAGAGAACTCAACTCGGAGGATTACGTACACCCCCAATTAGTGAGGAGTTGCTCCAATGGCGAGCACTGAGGCCAGTAGGTATTCTCAGCCGCTGCCTTCCCCTCCTCCGGTCTATCTCCGTTCATCCCCGCCCTTTCTCTCGTCGCGTCACGAAATTGCCCGACGTCCCAGCTCGCATCATCAGTTGAAAATGGTTTCCACGCGCGAGCAATCGCCCCCGTCTCGATCGCTAGCGACCGATGGAGAGACACGTGAGCCTGTGCAAGTTCCGAGAGTGCGGATCCATGGCGAGGTAGACCAGCCGGTGCAGAATTTCCACGACGACGAATATGCTTTGTCACTTACGGGCGCTGCCTTTTCCGACTTGGCACTTGCAGAAAAATCCCCGACGCACGGGAAGGATATCGACAATGCACCTCCACGTGAGGGAGAACTATATCGGGCTCCGCGGCCGTTAGTGTACGGCCACACGCCCACGAGCAGTGGCTCGTGGTCCGTGGTCGACCCCAACTCCCGAGAACAACCCGACAGCCTTGCAGCCACCAGCTCCTCCTCCGTCGACCAAGCAGCTCCGAAAGAGAATGAGCATACGTCACCCCGGGAAAGTCTGGATAGCAGCGCAGAGACGCCCGAGGTCTATGAGCCCTTGCACTATCACCACCGTCCCTATGAGGTTCCTTCACAGTCCTCGGCCACTGGATCCGGGGAGAACGTCTCGGGCACGAACGGCTATTTGAGCGCCAGGCCCCGACCTCGGTCGACGTACTCCTTCACGTCCAGCGTCGGCGAAGGACGCCATCGGTCCCCTCACCTATCCCCATACCTTCAGGGCCGGTCATCCTCAAGGGAGTCTGTTGCATCACCCGACGTTCGGCCACTGTCTTTTGTCGATCAGCTCAACAGCCACTACCCGCAACCTGGTCCGGCGCCTGTGCAGTTCGGGAACTCCCAGCTGCAATCAGCAATCGGCAACAATGCTTCGCTGCTGAGCCACAAGCAAACGTTCGACATGTACCTGGCGAATGTCAAGAAAACGGATGATCCGGCCGTCCAGTATGAGTTTGCCCTGTTCATGGTCAACGCCGCGCTGGACATGCCACCGGAAGGGCTTGGAGGCGATGCCTCTGCCGTGTACGGACGTAAGGCTGCAGAGATCACTCGGGGTGGATTGCTGAAAGAAGCGAAGTCGATCCTCCAGCGGCTTTCTGATCGGAGCTACCCATTTGCGCAATACTACATTGCGGACGGATACGCGTCAGGATTGTTCAGCAAGGGCAAGGAGGATTATGACCGAGCATTCCCGCTGTTTGTGGCCGCCAGCAAACACGGACACGTCGAGGCATGCTATCGGGCGGCCCTGTGTTTTGAGTTTGGCTGGGGCACTCGGGTGGAGGCTGCCCGGGCGCAACAGTTCTATCGGCAAGCAGCATCTAAGAACCATCCGGGTGCTATGCTTCGGATGTCCAAGGCATGTCTTGCGGGCGACATGGGTCTCGGCAAACGGTATCGCGAGGGGATTAAGTGGTTGAAGCGTGCGGCCGAGTCCGCGGACGAGCAGTACAATTCCGGTCCGTATGAGCTCGGATTGCTGCATGAAACGGGCTACGGCGATGACGTGTTTCTGGATCCGTCGTACGCCGCGCAACTATTCACCAAGTCGGCGGACCTGGGGCATGTGGAGGCCAGCTATCGCCTGGGAGATGCATACGAGCACGGCAAGTTGGATTGTCCGCGAGACCCGGCTTTGTCGATTCATTTCTACACGGGTGCGGCACAGGGGGGCCATCCTTTGGCCATGATGGCTCTTTGTGCTTGGTATCTGATTGGAGCGGAGCCTGTCCTCGAGAAGGACGAGGAGGAGGCGTACGAATGGGCCAAACGTGCTGCCGAATCCGGTACGTCGATTTGCTTTGGAGTGGTTTGTTCCGATGCTGACCCTTTATGTTTGACAGGCCTGGTGAAAGCTCAATATGCCATTGGGTATTTTACGGAGACGGGCATTGGCTGTCGACGCGACCCGCTGCAGGCCAATGTATGGTACGTTAAGGCGGCCGAGCAAGGCGATGAGCGGGCGAAGAACCGGCTGGCGACTATTCGAGCGGCCGCCGATGGGGTTGCACCAGGGCAAGGGGCTGCGGATGCGGGGAAGGGCAAGAAGTCGAGTGGGAAAACCGGTAAGTAGTTTGGTGGTTTGACGTTTGAACGAAGTGAAACTGATCGGGATATAGAGGGTAAATCGAAGCGCTTCAGCATTTTTTGAGTGTGCGTGCACGAGATGTCTGGCGACTTTTACCGTCCTTCCACTACATGCGTGACCATTTAGCCCAGTTTTTGTTTCTTGATTCTTGGTTACGTTCTTTATACCAGAGGGATTTGGCATTCTACATAGCACAGCAGCACAGCACTTGCACTGACTTTTGGACACACTTGACTACTAATGAGCTTGTATATTTGGGATGAGTTTTGGTGTATGTATGCATAGTCGGGTTCCACATTTGTACCAGCATGAACTTTTGTGTGTTGAGTGCGGCAGTTATTTGTGGGGTTCGAGATATACGGCGAATTGACTCTTCACATGCATCGGCGAGTTGATTCCTTGATGGTGGGTGGTAACATGGAAGTAGCGGGGAGATATTACAGAGCATCTGACCGACTGAGTATATCTGCAGTAGGGAGCTTTATACACGGGGCATCTGACTCCTGAATAGTAGTACGATGATCCGTTCGCTTGGGTAACCATTGCGATCGACAGGTGAACATGTTGTCTGGTGGATAAAAGAGAGCCAGGCGACCGTACTCCGCCTGCGGCACTGATAACATGGTTTTATGGTGAAGTTGAGATAGATGGAGATGAGATCAAACCTCAACCGAATGTGAGCATAATGACGATATGATATATGATGTAGGTACTGCGTACATGTCAGGGGATGGTTAGATAATGCTTCAGCCCCTTGAAACACAACACGCTGCTACTCAGTACTCACCGAGCACAGTACCTACTCATACGTGCAATGTCCAACCGGACACTCCACGATCCTGCAGCACCGTTTCGTCGCTAGTGTGCCCGCCAAGCGCAGAAAGCAGGGAAACTATTGGGCTTTGGACGTGACGATCTCAGTCTGAGTCTCTGATGGAAAATGAAAGTCACGAAGTTTGGGGTCGGTCGGGGGGCGAGGTTGGCTGTCACTCGCGGCGCCCGAGTTGCCCTGCTTTAAGGGAAACTGGAATACGGAGTACTCGAGTAAGACTGGAGGCAGGAAACCTCACTGCCAGTCGCCCCTCTTTCCCGCCCCCTCCCTCCTCCCCTGCCGATCCACACCTTCCCTCCGCAGGGATTCCCGCGCCGATCCCGCCGATTACTGTTTCACGGGATTGCTGCTGCTGCTGCTGTGAGTACGGAGTAGCTAACTTCTGGGTTACCGGCTACTTTCCCAACACCTAAAGCACCACAATTCCCATTTATCCAGTGTGCAATGTGAAGACCATTTCCAAAAATAAATCCAATTCCTCCACAAGGGGGAAAAAAAAAAGTACCCGATCGGAAACTTCCCACACGTCCTAAGTAAAAAGCCAAGGCCATCACTGCACTCCACCTACACCTCAAACAGGAGCAGGAGGGAAGGGATCTACAGACAGACACACCTTCATAAGAACGTTAGGTTTTCCTCCCGGAGGGGCGCGTCATTGTGTTTTATCCCTACCTGGAACCTCACGAGAGCAATCACATTTTCCCGTTCGTGATTCCATTTCCATCCCTCTTTCCACATTCTTCCGGGTTGAGCTTCCCACGTTGTTGTTCCTCTGCTTCATTCCGGCGGGAATTGATTTTTGACGGTTGATTGATAGCAGTGGTATGTGTCAGCACCTTCCAATTGTTTGCACATCCATCCTTTTGGTTGGGGTTCGGTGGTGTCGGAGATTTTGCTTGGATCTGGCCGAAGGTTGGGGGTTTGGTGTAGTGCGTGCTTGCTTGCTAACTCTTGCTGTGGTGCTCTCTTGCAGATTCCATTTCCATACCCATATCTCACCCATCCAAACCGAATTGAACCTTCAGACTTTATCACAGTCCAATAACAAAATGCGTTTCCTCGCCGTCGTCGCCCTCCTCGCCTCGTTGACGGCCGCCCGTCCCGCGGAGAACGGGATGTTCAATATCGAGCTCTCGTGCGTTGGGGTGCGTTTCTTCTCACTCTTCTTCTTTGGCTTGTTGCTGCTTTGCTTTGCTTCGCTTCCTGGTGGGAATGGGGGAGGGGTTGAGGTTGTGCCTCTTTCTATACCCGGGGGTTCGTTTGAGAGATTGGGTTCTGGGTGCTGGATGAGATCTATCCGGATGAGCTTTCTCGGGAGGTCACGACCATCCACCCTAGCCTAGTTCTCTCAAGGAGGCATTCCAGCTCCATTGTGATGCGAATCCCGTCCTCCCCTGCTTGTCCATAATGCTCGTGGGAATTGTATGGAGGATGTGACTGACATGAGCCGCAGCTGAACGACAGAGCGTGCGTTGCTAACGCGACGAGCGGCATGGGATGCTGCGTTCCCTTGTATTGCGGCGCTGACCATGTGAGTTGTCTTTCGGTGGTTTGGCGATTGGGATTGCGGGGCAGAGACTGACGGGGTTGTAGCGGTGCCATCGTCCTTGATTTGGGGGTCGCAGTTCGTGGCTGAGTTTTGGGGGTGGGCTGGTTGCTGGGTTATTAGGTCGTGGGCCATGGATCGTGTGATAGGAGGTTGCAGTTCATGGTGTTTGGGATGATGGATGGACTGATATCTGCTTGCTGCTGGGGCGGTAGTTGTGAAGGTTTGAGACTGTGGACAGGTGGATGGGTAATGGATGGAAGTGGGGGGATTCAACGGCAGACTAATGAGTGGAACTAATCGTGCTTGCGAGGTGAGGTTCGCGGAGCGCTCAATTAAATAGGGGTCTTCGAGTCTCATGCTTACCCATGGGTTGTTCGGTTGTAGTTGTAGGCTTTAGAGAGATTTGATGCCGTGTTTTGAGGTGCTTTGGTAACTTCTCTCCTCTTCATAGAGCAGGGAGACCCTCGTCTGAAGGAGGTTGGGTGATAACTACCTTCGTCCAGGTTGAGGAATAGCTTGTGCTGGGTTGGACTCATCTCCACGGCGTGCGTTAGACAATTATTGACCCCATATGAGTTTGTTCATGTGTAGGTCTGTCAAATCTCGATGTTGAGCTGAAATTCATATCCTGAGTCCTCTTCCTGCATCGTCTGATGAAGAAGCACCAAGTACTACTGATATCATAGGGCTACCGCGCTACTTGCCAGTACGAGGTATAGATAAGGGTAGACCCGATATCCAGCCCGGATCCCCCATATCCATACATACATATACCACAGTATACCTGATAAGCGACCCCCTCCCTCAAGCAAACCCATACCTGAGCTACCATACCCACCCAAAAATACACATCCCCACCAAGAAAGATCTATAACTCAATTCAACCTCGACAAGAAAGAAGCACCTCGACGAATGATATTACGCGATGAATTCCGACCCTAACCTCCAACACCCACGCAAACATACACATAAGAATATTACAACGAAGACAACCATAAGCATGCCCAGCATCTTTAAAACCTTCCCCTGTCCAACCTCAGGACCTGAGTCGTCTAATCCGTCGGAGGCCGGTACGAACCCCCCGTGAACCTACCCACGTCATACGATCAGCTCAACCCTCAACCCTCAACTACACCCCGAAAACAACAGGGAAGGAAATACATACCGACTCCACAACAGCCCAAACAGCCCCTGCGACGAGTCGGCGGTGCTGCGCTTCGCCCACCCGGAGTCGACATTGTAGCGCTTCGTGTCCTGCAGCCCCGCGAAGAGGCCTCGGCCTGCGGTTGCGTGCTGCGCGCCCATTGCTTGTTAGTGTTTCGTTCAGGGTGAGGGTTTGGGTTTGGGTTTGAGTTTGGGTTTGGGGCAAACGAACGTGTTTAGGCCGATCCTTGACCCAGAGATCGGCGCCGAAGTCGTTCTGTAGGCGGGAATTGGATGTGCTGGTTGTGTTGGTCATTTTGAGTTGGTTGGTTGTTTGTGTGCTTCTTTGGGAAGGGTGTGGGATGGAGTGGTTGATTGGCTGAAGAAGGTATCGTATGGGTAGAATGTAGTGGTTGGTGATTCTTGATTGGATGTAGAGTATGCTTGGGATGTTGATTTAGATTCAAATCCCGATTGCTTTGCTTGATGCTGAGGGTGAGGGGACTCGGGATCTGGTGAGATGGTTATATACTACTGTCTCGGGTTGGGTCTACTGTTCTACTCTACCTACTCTGGAGTATACTTTGGATATCGTCTCATCCGGGGGAAAGCGACAGCGCAACCCGGGTGGTGCGGTTCCCGTGCGATTGGGCTCGAGATACGAGTGTAGGATGAGGGTGGTTCGATATTCGGGCCATGTTGTCGAGGTGAGCGGTTGGAAGGAGCTGCTCGGGGGTTCTGTTCCGGGTGAGGTCACCTTATGGATGCGGCCAGGTTGAACCGGTAACGAACCGGTTGGGGTTGGTGAGGTCGTCCGGGGTAGGAGCTGCTCTGGTCTGGTATCACGAGGCTGAGAATGCGTGGGTGCATGGATGTACCTCGTGGGCTGTCGGGTTGACATGGGTGGATTGCACCAATGGGGTGCGTGGGATTGGTGAGATTAGTTTGGTTTGCTGGGAGCCCGGGAAAAAGCCTACTCGTGGCGGTGGCTGGATTGGCCATGCGGTGTGCATGGGTACCGTATGCTCAGTCCATGTGGTTGTTGTGGTTGTGGTTGTGGTTGTGGTTGTGGTCGATGTGGGTATGGCATGATCGGGATGGTACGGTCTGGCTGGCGTCGTACGATGGGGTCCCGGAGGTTTGGGTCGGTGGTTTTCTGTGCTTCCTAGGTGACTTGGGGGTTAGGGAAGTATATATTGTCAAGGGTTGGAGTTTTTCCCTCTCCACTGAGGACTCCGTAGACCGGAAGTGGTTGTGTTGAGGTGGTGGTTGTGATGGCGATGGCGGCTGTGGTGGTGTTGAGTCGGGCTATGATCGTTGCTGGCGATCAGGTCACTGGCCAACCACTGGGCGGGAATTATAATGTCTACTCCAGCAGATCTACAGTTTGGCGACCTAACGTTAACTACCCATATCTGAGTAGCTTTACTATATAAGGTACAGTACAGTATGACTGCGACTGCGACCTCACCCTTGTCTTGACTCCGTGCCCTCATACAGTTCATGCCTCAGGCATCTGCATCCGCATCCGCCTTCGCATCCGCCAGCCGGTGAGAACCTTCCAGAATCCAATCCCCGTCAGCACTAGGGAGCACTCTGCGCCCCAATCTGCTGCGCCCCAACCGATAATGCTCTGAATAGCACTGGCGGTGCACATGACAGTCACGCCCCCAGGATCCCATTTGCATCCTTTATAACCCGCTTCCCACTGAATCAGGGGTAACCCACGTAGACTTGGCTGCCACCGTGTCTCACACCCAACCCGAACTATTGATTTCGCGTATTGGCGAATCTGTTCAACTTCGCTTTTTTGCCAGCAACAGACTCAAGCCAAGCTCAATCAGGGGCACCCCGGTCCGCAGTGGAGGACCAGCACTGACTCGGTCCAGACCGGGCTGGCCGGGTGATGATCAAAAGAAGGAAATGAGCAGTGATCGTCGACATCCTCGAGAAAAGAGGAAAAAAAGGTGGTGAAAAATTCAAGAGCATGCCGAGGGTTCTTGTACCTCGAACTGCTGGTATACTACGTATGTGCTAGGTGGCAATCCCTGAGGCTGAGGCGGAGGCTGAGCTGAGGGACCGATCAGATGCAATTCCATTCTCCGGATCGTCTGGGGTAGACTAAAGCAAGCCCCTTCCCCTAAAACCCTAGAAACGAAGGGCACGAGGAGGCGACTCTGACACAGCACACTCCCTCTTTCGCCGCCGTGGCTTCGGTTATTCGGCTGCTGCTGGGTAACCTCCAGCTGTCACCGTTGCGATGGGCTGCAGTCTACTCCACCCGAGCGAAATCGACATGGTCCTCGAAGCCGAGGGAGGGCCAGAAGGTGGTGATGGGGATCGGCATTGTGTTTAAGTTGCCCTGCACGCTAGATTCACCTGCCGGAGCACCGATCACCATGAGTGTTGACTCTATTGACAATTATTGGCTGTGTGTTGGAGCAAAGTTATACCTCAGAGTAAAATTCTCAGGGGCGAGCGGCTTGGACTCCAGGATTTCGACTTAACTCCAGATGATATATCCTTTCCGTATACCAAGTCTCTGGGCAACGCCATGAATGTAGCGGAGCGGAAGGGATACTATCTATTACTACGGGTGTTGAAGATGCTGTGTTGCTTTGCTGTGTTGTGTGTTGCTAATTCCAGGCACCTGGCATAGTGTCTTTGCCTCTTTTCTGGGCCAGCGGTTTCATCTAGTCTTGGAGGCCCAAGTGAAAACCTCCTGAAATCTCACGGCCCCCTCTTAGGCTGACTGTCCGTCGCATTCATTGGCCTGTTGGGTGGAGGGCCGGAAATTAAGCAGTTGATGCATCCAATGGCTGGCTCCAGGGCTGAGGGAAAGAGCCCCGCCAAGTCGCCCGATCGGGGAAAGCGTCAACAGCAAAAGTTTCCTGTTCCTTGCAGCCCGCAAAAGCACACCAACTCATTATTCATGGTTGAGATGTGATCCATCACTAGTACTATAGCACTGATAGGAGACTTGAAGGTTGACTTGAAGGTTGAATCAGATACTATCAGGGCAGCTAAGTTGATTCTCTCATTCTCTCAACTCTATTCTTCGATAGCATCAGTGATCTTCCTGGAGTTGTTCAGAGAAAATGGGTGTTGGTGTAGTTCGGTTTAGAGTTTTCTTACTGTTCCACTTGAGCAGTCAACTACTGTACGAACCTACACTGCACCTATGTATACCAGTACCTTCTTGATAGATAGACTGTTTGCTCCAACCTTCAAGCACTGCAGCTACTAGGTAAATCGTATAGCAGTCCCAAACAGTCCTGCACCATCCACCATGCATACACAGGAGGTTGGCCGAGATAGTCCCATAATAACCAACTTTGCAACCCTTCTAGATCCCTAATTGTGTACTCCGGAGTACAGGACCTATTTATGCTTGCCCCCACATCTTATTCCTCCCCCCCCCCCCCCCTCCATCCGAGTCCATCGTGAAACCCGCCACCAATCGTGGTCCGGCAGTGCCTGGCAGCCCTGAAAGAAGTTACACACACCGCCCCCCTTTTGTGAATTATGGTGGATTTTGGTGAATTGGTGTTGCTCACTTGCTATCCTCTTTCCTCTTTCTGTCATTTCAGTTCTTGTCCACAATTGGGGCCGTTTTGGCCCAGAACCTGCATCGGTTAGTGCCAATCACCAGCCATCCCGTCTCCAGGGGCGCCACCATCGATTTTGCTTTCTTTTCTACCGCCCCATCGGCCGTTCATCTTCTTACTTCTTCCCTCCTTCCCCCCTCTTCTTTCCCTTCTTCTTCCTTCTCCTCCTCTCACCTGTTCTCTCCTTCATCCCTCGAGCGTGTCTCGAATTGTTTTCCTTTCCAAGGGTCGGACCTGACAATATACTAGAGGCCAACGTGCTTCCAGTTCTCTCCTTCCCTGCCCACATTCATTGACCACCGCTTCACTCTTTCAGCGGGCCCTCATTGCGATTACCGGATTCGGAACATCACCAAAATCACCCCCCAACCAATTCATCCTCAGCCCTCTTTGCCAACCTCGCAAAATGAAGGGTGCTTTCCTTGCTACCGCGGCCGCCGCCCTCGTCGGTACGGCTCTGGCTGACGGCGCTCACCGTCGCCATGCCCACGAGCCCTTCCACCAGCGCCGTGCCGTGCAGGCCGGTGCTTCCTCCGCCTCCGAGGAGACCTGCGGCTGCACCACCGAGGTCGTCACCGTCTGGGGAACTCCTACCCGTGAGTTTCTGCCTCTTGCTCTGGTGAAGTGAGTCATCTAACCTCTTCCAGTCGTGCCCGTCTCTACTGCCACCGAGACCGTCGTCTCCGAGGTCGTCACCACCCTCCACTCCACCAGCTACACCACTGTGACTGTCGTTGCTACTCCTGGTGAGTCGGCAGCTACCGTCCCCGCTGGAGGCTCCCCCGGTGAGGCTTCTACCACCACCCCCGAGGGTGTTGAGGCCACTGGCGTGACTGGCGCTACCGGTGCTACCGGCGTTCCTGCCGTTGAGACCACCTCGGCCCCTGCTCCTGTCGTTGAGACTACCTCGGCCCCTGCTGCTGTCGTTGAGACCACCTCGACTCCCGCCGCTGCCGTTCCCACCTCCAGCGCCGTGGTGCTGCCCACCCCTGATGTCACCACCTTCGCCTCGACTGGTGTCTACACCATCCCTGCGTCCACTGTGACTGTCAGCGAAACCACCCAGGTTGTCACTCCTGCCGTCACCACGCTGCCTAGCGGTACTCACACCATCGGTGGTGTGACCACCGTTGTCGAGACCTCGACCACCATCGTCTGCCCCTATGCCACCGTGAAGCCCTCGGGCACCACCGTCACCAGCGTCATTGAACACACCACCTACTACTGCCCCGCCGCTGGTACCTACACCATCGCCCCCACCACCACCTATGTCCCCTCCAGCGCTGTCGTGACCTACCCCGCCGTGTCCACCGTCACCCCGGGCGTCTACTCCCACACTGCCGAGGTTGTCACCGTCACCGTCACTGACTACACCTACACTTGCCCCTTCAGCGGCTCCACCAGCTCTGCTGCTGTTGCCGTGACCACCCCCTCCGCTGCCGCTGCTACCACCACCGTCGTCCCGGCCACCACTGCCGTCCCCGCTACCTCCAGCGTCAAGGCTAGCACTGTCTCCAGCGCTGCTGCCAGCTCTTCCAGCGCCGCTGCCACTGGTGTCAGCGCTACCGGCCTGATGGGTATGACCTACACCCCTTACACCAACGACAACGGCTGCAAGTCCACTGCCACCATGACTTCGGACATCAAGACCATCGCCGGCAAGGGCTTCACCCACATCCGTCTCTACTCCACGGACTGCAACACCCTC